GAGGCTGAGGTGGGGGGATTGCTTGAGCCCAGGAAGTCAAGGCTGCAGTGAGTGGTGATTATGTCACTGCCCTCCAGCCTGGGCAACTGAGTGAGACCCTGTCTCAAAAAAAAAAAAAATCAATTCATATAATACACTGCATGAACAATATTAAGTAGAAAAAAATGTGACCAATTCAATAAAAACAGAAAAAACTTGATAAGATTTAACACACGTTCAGAATTTTTTAAAAGTTTAAGAAAACTAGGAATAGAACTTCCTCTGTAGGATAAAGCCTATTAACAAACATCCTATTAAGCCAACATTGTACTTAATTGTACTTAATAAGTACAACATTGCACTTAATGAGGAAATACTCAAAACTTTCTCTGGGAGTCAACGCTGCCTCCTCCTCAAGCCCACACGTTATTACGTAGAACGAAATTATTCATGGCTATCAAGTTAAAGCATTGTCGAGGCTGCTCTGATTCAAAACAATAGCACAGTCAAATGGAGAACATGCTTGCATATGAAATGTGATTAATTCGTTCAGACAGGGCAAAACTATCCATTATAACTCCATCTATTCCATACTGTACTGGAGAATCTAACCAGTGCAATAAGGCAAAGAAAGGAAATAAGTGGCATTTTAAAAAATAGGAAAATTTAAAACTGTCACAATTTGCATACAATATTTTTGTATGTATAGCAAATCAAAATTTATAAACTATTAAAACTAATATGTTCATGAGATGTTACACAGTATTAAAAATTTACAATTAAAAAATATGCAACTACAAGATGACTGACTAGATTCAGCTGGGGTGTACCTCTTACACAGAGAGGAACCAAAATATCTAGTAGATATTCACACTTTAAATAGATAGTCTGAGAAAGAGCACTGGAATTCAACAGAGAGGCAACAGGAGACACTGAGGGTGAAGGAAGGAGACATGGGGCTACCTGCTTGGGGTTGCTAGGAGCCAAGAGCAGCCCCAGACTCAAAGAAGGGGTAAGTAAAGAAACCCCAGAGTTCCACATTTTTGCTGCAGACTTTTACAACCCTAACTACGGGAGAGTCCCTCAGCCCCCATAGGCCTCCAGACTGGCATAGAGAGCTGCCTGGAGATCATGCACAGGTGCTTCTTAAACTTGCATGGAGTCTCACAGGCTTCCAAGCACTGGGCAGCTGCAGCACAGTGCCATTCTGGGAGCCCATTCCCCAAGGATCTCTGTCCTGCCTTGAGGTTGCCATTGCCACTGCTGGCTGCTGGGTGAGGTAGTGAGAGAGGAGGCCAGGTGCTCTCATGTGCCTCAAGGAGAGGTTCCACTGCTGCTGCTGTGGAACTGAGGTCATTTGGGCCACATGCCCCATGCCTGCCAGTCTCTCCCAAAGCTGCCGCCTAGCCATTCCTATGGAGACAGGACCACCCTTCCAAGCTGCAAGCCTGCAATGCAGCCACTGTTGCCCCACTTGAGTGTTTCTCCAGTGGCCAGGGACCAGCTTGCCCTCCCTGTCACAGCCAGCACTTGAGTCCAGGGATCCTAAGGTCAAGGCTGCTGGCTTGGTCCTATCCCTGCACAACTCCAGCATGCCACCCAGGGGCATGGAGACGAGATTTGTGATCTGATCTGATCTGGAGCCCCCAAAGTCAGAGTGAGAGGAGAGTGTGGTGTGGGTTCCTATTGAGGCACAGGAGCTGGGTACTCCTCCCTTCATAGCACCACACCAGGATGGGTGTGGCCTGAGAGCCAAGGTTTCTGCCCCTGACAGGAAGTTTCATGGCCTGGGGAGGCTTTGCCATCTGAACACAGCCAGCTGCTGGGTCTTTTCAAACCAATGAGAACAAAGACACAACAGAGCAGACTCTCTGGGACACATTTAAAGCAGTGTCTAAAGGAAAATTTATAGCACTAAATGCCCACATGAAAATCAAGGAAAGATCTAAAATCAACACCCAACATCACAATTAAAAGAACTAGAGGATCAATATCGAACACATTCAAAAGCTAGCAGAAGACAAGAAATAACTAAGATTAGAGCAAAGCTGAAAGAGATAAAGACACAAATAACTCTTCAAAAAAATGAATAAATCCAGGTGCTGGTTTTTCAAAAGATCAACAAAATAGACCGCTAGCCAGACTACTAAAAAAAGAAAAGAGAGAAGAATTGAATAGATGCAATAAAAAATGATAAAGGGGATATCACCACCAATTCCACAGAAATACAACTACCATCAGATTTTACTACGAACAAATCTATGCATATAAACCAGTAAATCTAGAAGAAATGAATAAATTCCTGGACATTTACACTATCCCAAGACTAAACCAGGAAGAAGTTGAATCCCTGAATAGACTAATAACAAGGTCTGAAGTTGAAGCAGCAATTAATAGCCTACCAACCAAAAAAATCCAGGTCCAAATGGGTTCACAGCCAAATTCTACCAGAGGTACAAAAAGGAGCTGGTACCATTCTTCTGAAACTATTCCAAACAACACAAAAAGAGGGAATCCTCCCTAACTCATTTTATGAGACCAACATCATCCTGATACCAAAACCTGGCAGAGACACAACTAAAAAAGAAAACTTCAGGCCAATTTCCATAATAAACACAGATGCAAAAATCTTCAATAAAATACTGGCAAACAAAATGCAACAGCACATCAAAAAGCTTATCCATCACAATCAAGTAGGCTTCATCCCAGGAGGCAGGACTGGTTTAACATATGCAAATCTGTAATCGTAATGCATCACATAAACAGAACCAAAGACAAAAACCACATGATTATCTCAATAGACGCAGAGAAGGCCTTTGACAAAATTCAACAGTGCTTTACGCTAAAAACTCCCAATAAACTAGGTATCAATGGAACATATCTCAAAATAATAAAAGCTATTTATGACAAACCCACAGCCAATATCATACTGAATGGGCAAAACCTGGAAGCATTCCCTTTGAAAATTGGCACTAGACAAATCATGAGTGAACTCCCATTCACAATTGCTACAAAGAGAATAAAATACCTAAGAATACTACTAACACAGGATGTAAAGGACCTCCTCAAGGAGAACTACAAACCACTGCTCAAGGACATAAGAGAGCACACAAACAGATGGAGAAACATTCCCTGCTCATGGTTAGGAAAAAATCAATATTGTGAAAATGGCTATACTGCCCAAGGTAATTTATAGATTCGATGCTATCTTAATCAAGCTACCATTGATCTTCTTCACAGAACTGGAAAAAAAACACCTTAAACCTCATATGGAACCAAAAAAGAGCTTGTATAGCCAAGACAATACAAAGCAAAAAGAGCAAAGCTGGAGGCATCATGCTACTTGACTTCAAACTATGTTACTAGGCTACAGTAATCAAAACAGCATGGTACTGGTACCAAAACAGAGATACAGACCAATGGAATGGAACAGAAATCTTGGAAGTAATGTCACACATCTACAACTATCTGATCTTTGACAAACCTGACAAAAACAAGCAATGGAGAAAGGATTCCCTGTTTAATAAATGGTGTTGGGATAACTAGCAAGCCATATGCAGAAAGCTGAAACTTGGACCCCTTCCTTACATATTATATAAAAATTAACTCCAGATGGATTAAAGATTTAAACATAAGAACTAACACCATAAAAACCCTAGAAGTAAGCCTAGGCAAAACCATTCAGAACATAGGCATAGGCAAGGACTTCATGACTAAAACGCCAAAGCAAAGGCAACAAAAGCCAAAATAGACAAACAGGATCAAATTAAACTTAAGAGCTTCTGCACAGCAAAAGAAACTATCATTAGAGTGAACCAGCAACCAACAGAATGGGAAAAAAATTTTGCAATCTATCCATCTGACAAAGGGCTAATATCCAGAATCTACAAAAAACTTTAACAAATTTACAAGAAAAAAACAACCTCATCAAAAATGGGCAAAGGATATAAATAGGCATTTTTCAAAAGAAGACATTTATGTGGCCAAAAAACATATGAAAAAAAGCTCATCATCACGATCATTAGAGAAATGCAAGTCAAAACCACATTGAGATACCATCTTACTCCAGTTGGTATGGCAATCATTAAAAATTCAGGAGACAACAGATGCTGGAGGGGATGTGGAGAAATAGGAACACTTTTACACTGTTGATGGGAGTGTAAATTAGTTCAACCATTGTGGAAGACAGTGTGGTGATTCCTCAAGGATCTAGAATTAGAAATACCATTTAACCCAGCAATCCCATTACTGGGTATATAACCAGTGGATTATAAATCATTCTATTATAAAGACACACGCACATGTATGTTCATTGTGGCACTGTTTACAATAGCAAAGACTTGGAACCAACCCAAATGCTCATCAAAGACAGATTGGATAAAGAAAATGTGGCATATATACACCATGGAATACTATGTAGCCATAAAAAGGAGTTCTTGTCCTTTGCATGGACATAGATGAAGCTGGAAACCATCATTCTCAGCAAACTGACACAAGAACAGAAAACCAAACATCACATGCTCTCACTCATAAGTGGGCATTGAACAATGAGAACACATGGACACAGGAAGGGAAAAAGCACACACTGGGGCCTGTTTGGGGTAGCGGGGGCTAGGGGCAGGATAGCAGGGGGTGGGGGGATTGGGGAGGGATAACATTAGGAGAAATATCTAACGTAGATGATGAGGGGATAAATGCAGCAAACCACCATGGCATGTGTATACCTGTGTAACAATCCTGCATGATCTGCACATGTACCCCAGAACTGAAAGTATAATTTTAAAAAAATTCGACAAGAAATTTTTTTGGCCTTAAGGAGATCCTGTCATTTGTGACAATGTAGTAAAACCTAGAGGACACTATGCTAAGTAAAATAAGCTAGATATAGAAAGTCAAATGCTGGTGAACACAGGCGGATCTCTTAAGACCTAGGTCGCAAGCCTCTCCCACACACGCTGTCTGCTCTCCAGCAGCTGCTTCATCTTGAGCGCTCTCTTGTGTCACCCTTCGAAGCAGCCGCCATGACCTCCACCACCCGCAAAGAAGTCAGAGACACCATGAGGTCGCTGCCACCGCCATGCCCAAGAATAAAGGAAATTAGTTTCAGTGTTCTCTAAGAATGCCTCAGATACTGAATTCTAAGGACTCTAGGTAGTTCAGGAAATTGTAGAGGCCCATCTAAAATAGCACAGAGCAATGTGAGACTGCCCCAGGAGAGAGTAAAGGAGGTAAAAATAGACGTAGAGATAAGAATGAGAACGAATCTGAAAAAAGAGAACTGGTATTCAAAGAAGATGGTCAGGAGTATGTTTAGGTGATCAAAATGTTGGGAAATGGACGGCCAGAAGCAACGTGTTTCAGTGGTGTAAAGAGGTTAGGTCACATCAGGAAAATTGAGAAAAAAGGTTTGGATAAATACCTCTGACATAATACTGGTTGGTCTCTGAGACTACCAGGATAACAAAGCTGATGTAATTTTAAAATACAATGCAGACAAAGCTAGAAGTCTGAGGGCATATGGCAAGCTTCCAGAGCATGCTAAAATCAATGAAACTGATACTTTTGGTTCAGGAGATGATGATGAAATTCAGTTCGATGACATTGGAGATGATGATGAAGATATTGATGAGATCTAAACTGAACTCAAGATTTTACATTCCATCTTTTCTGAAGATTGTCCTACAATTTGGATTTTGGCCATGACAAAGATTAAAATTTCATTAGCATGAATACAGTTTGTTAAAACAGACTGATTTGTTCCTAAGGTATTTTTATTTAAAACTGGTAATGCTGAATTATCTTAAGTGAGATGTTAAGCCCACTTTGCTCTTTTAATATAGTGGAGCTTAAGGGTAGAAGACCACGTCTACTATTTAAATAAATAAATACGGTCGGATCCAAGATGGCCGTTTAGGAACAGCTCAGGATTGCAGCTCCCAGTGAAAGCGCAGAGGGTGAGTGGACGCCGCGTTGTTATTGCCCACAGACTAGGAAATTCCCAGGCGGAGGAGCTCCATGGTCGCCAG